TAAATTGGAGATTATTATTATAGAAAGAATAACATAGGACATGGTAGGTCCCTCATATTTTGGTGCAGATAGACTAGAATTTTTCTGGAAGAAAAGAGCCAAGGTACCTTTCTCTTTCAAAGGAAAAAGGATCTATCCTTAATTCCCTACAGATGCCAAAAAGGTGGAAATTTGAGGATAAAGTTTTCTTTTTCTTCTTCCTTTTTGGTGCCTTTTCCAATATTCTTTTTCAGTTTCTTGGTATCAACCAAAGAGAGACAGACATATATGTGGTATCCATCAGCTGATAATGTGGTAGATATATGTCACAATAACAATAAAGTTTATACATTATGGTGGTTTACTTGTGGTATTGAAGCAATTAATCTCACATAAAATAATATAATAATTGATTTGATGCATAATAAAAATATAATTACCGCATAACTAATACAAGATTTGGTTGGTATGTTTAATAATAGTCAGATTAAGAAATGCAATAATTTATGTATTATTTTATTGAAGATAGAATGTGAAATAAGAATACGCATATCAACAATAAAGGAATTAAATATCAAAAGATAAAAATTATTAAAAAATATAGCTGGAAGTAACAACATAAAACAAGAAGACATGAGAAGAAGAGATAACTTTCTTATTTCATCGAGTATTCAAGTGTGTTCCATCTCATATTTCATGCCTCTATTTATACTATTACATCTGAAGGTTATAAAATGATTGTCTTAAACATGACATTAACAATTGAGATCATAGGGGAAGATCATGGGGAGGGGTTATGGAGGTGTGAGAGTTACAATCATAATGGTAATGAGTAGTGAGAGGCTATTTACATCATGGGTGAAAGTAGTGGGAGTAGTGGTTATCTACATTTACTAAAGATATTATAACACTCCCCCTTGGATGTCCAAAAAATAGATAATATGCCTCGTTAAAACCTTACTAAGAAAAAATCATGCGGGAAAAAATCTTAGTGAAAGAAAATGAGTACATATATATGTAATACACTTTATTTGCTGCCTCGTTAAAAACCTTACCAGTAAAACACAATGGGACAAAACCTAGGCTAAGGGAAAAAGAGTACAACGCGTATCTTACTCCCCCTCATGAAAATATCACTTTATTTCTCGAAAACGTCGCATTCCAATCTTCTATCTCAACTTCTCAAATGTTGAGGTTGGTAAAGCCTTAGTGAACAAGTCAGCCAAATTTTCACATGAACGAATCTGTTGAACATTAATTTCACCATTTTGTTGAAGATCATGCGTGAAAAAGAACTTTGGTAAAATATGCTTTGTTCTGTCTCTTTTGATGTATCCTCCTTTCAGTTGAGCAATACAAGCAGCATTGTCTTCCTATAGTGTTGTTGGATTATTTTTTTTCATAAGAAAACCACATATTTCCTGAATATGCTGAATCATTGATCTCAACCAAACACATTCCCGACTAGCTTCATGAATGGCTATTATCTCAGCATGATTTGAAGATGTGACAGCTATTGTTTGTTTCATTGAACGCCATGATATAGTAGTACCTCCATATGTAAACAAATAGCCTGTTTGAGATCGGGCTTTATGGGGATCAGACAAATAACCTACATCGACATAGCCAATCATTTTTTTACTTGAATTCATTAGAATAAACCAATCTCATATCTATGGTTCCCCGAAGATATCTAAATATATGCATAACACCATTCCAATATCTTCTTGTTGGGGAGGAGATGAATCTTGCTAATAAGCTTACTACAAAAGCAATATCTGGTCGAGTATTGTTGGCAAGATACATTAGTGCCCCAATTGCACTAAGATATGGAGTTTCATCACCAACGAGCTCTTCATCATTTTCTTGAGGCCGAAATGGATCTTTATTTATATCAAGAGATCTCACAACCATTGGGGTATTTAATGAATGTGCATTATCCATGTAAAATCGCTTTAAAACCTTTACATGCTCAATTTGTAGGCCAAGACAAAATTTTGTCTTACCAAGATCTTAGTGCAATTGGGGAACTAAAAAAAAAGATACGCGCTATACTCTTTTTCCCTTAGCCTAGGTTTTGTCCCACTAGGTTTTACTGGTAAGGTTTTTAACGAGGCAGCAAATAAAGCGTATTACAGATATGTGTACTCTTTTTCCTTCACTAAGATTTTTTCCCACGGGGTTTTTTCTTAGTAAGGTTTTAACGAGGCATATTATTTATTTTTTGGACATCCAAGAGGGAGTGTTATAAAATCTTTCATTTCAAATTCTTTCTTCAAACATTCTACAGCTTTTGGATGCTCTTTAGAAGTGCCAATGATATTCAAGTCATCAACATACACAGCTTTGATGACAAATTCTGATCCACACCTCTTAATAAAGACACAAGGGCAAATATGGTCATTTTTGTACCCTTCCTTTAGCAAATACTCGCTAAGGCTTCTGTAGCACATCCTCCCTGATTGCTTCAATCCGTATAAGGATTTCTGAAGCTTTATTGAATAAATTTCTCTTGAACTTTTATTTGCTTCAGGAACTTTAAATCCCTCAGGGATTTTCATAAAAATTTCATTGTCCAGTGAGCCATATAAGCAGGTTGTGACAACATCCATCAACCGCATATGAAGTTTTTCATGGACTGCCAGATTTTTTAAATACCTGAAGGTAATTGCATCTACCACAGGAGAATATGTCTCTATATAATCAATGCCAGGCCTTTGCGAAAATCCTTGTGCCACAAGTCGTGCTTTATATCTTACGACATCACCTTTCTCATTTAATTTTTGCACAAAAATCCATTTGTACCCCACTGGCTTGACACCTTCAGGCGTTCGGACTATTGGTCCGAAAACTTCACGTTTTTTGAGTTAAGCCAATTCCGCTTGAATTGCGTTTTTCCATTTTGGCCAATCATTTTTTTGTCTACATTCATCGACATATTTTAGCTCAAGATCCTCATCTTGTTGCATTATTTCAACTGCAGCATTATATGCAAAATTGTTGTTAACAACAACTTTATTTCGGTTCCACTTTTTCCTCGTAGAGACATAACTTATTGAGATCTCTTCATTTTCATCATTTCCAGGTACTATAACCTCCTGTGAAGTCTTATCAATTGTTATGTCTTTATGCTTCTCTTGAGCAATTGCCTCCATGTTATGATCAACTTGATCATTTGCTCCTTTCCTTTTTCGGGGATTCTTATCTTTGGAACCAATTGGTCTACCACGTTTAAGGCGTGTCCTAGACTCATTTGCATCATCATACTGTCCAGCTGGGACATCAACTCGAATTGGAGCATTTACAGCTAGAATATGCGATTTAGTAACCCATGAAAGATTAGTAAATGCATCTGGAAATAGATTTGCAACATTTTGCATATAAATGATCTTTTGAACTTCTTGTTCATATTGATTTGTACGAGGATCCAAATGAGATAGAGATAATACGTTCCAATCTATCTCTTTTTCCAGTTGTTTATTTTCTTCCCCTAATGTTGGAAAACCTGATTCATCAAAATGACAATCAGCAAATCTGGCTGTAAACAAATCTCCTGTCATAGGTTCCAAATATTTAATAATAAAAGGAGATTCATAACCAACATACACTCCCAACCTTCTTTAGAGACCCATCTTTGTATATTTTGGTGGAGCAATTGGAACATATACCGCACATCCAAAAATTCTTAGATGGAAAATATTTGGCTCCTCACCAAAAGCCAACTATAATGGGGATACTTTATGATAACTGGTTGGTCTTATGCGCACAAGTGTTGTTGCATGCAAAATAGCATGTCCCCACACTGAAAGGGGAAGTTTTGTCCTCATTAGCAATGGTTGTCTAGCTATTAGTTGAAGTCGTTTAATCAATGATTCTGCTAGACCATTTTGAGTATGAACATGAGCAACCGGATGCTCAACTTTTATTCCAATGGCCATACAATAACCTGTAAAGGCCTGAGATGTAAAATCACCAACATTATTAAGACGAATTGTTTTAATTACATAATTTGGAAATTGTGCTCTTAACCTTATTATTTGGGCCAACAATTTCGCAAATGCCATATTACGAGTTGACAATTAGCACACATGTGACCATCTTGTAGATGTGTTTATTAAGACCATAAAATACTTGAATGGTCCACATGGAGGGTGTATAAACCCACCTATATCACCCTGTATACGTTCCAGAAATGCAGGGGATTCAATCACAACTTTAGTTGTTGATGGTTTAATAACCAATTTTCCTTGAGAACAAACAACACAAGAGAATTCCTTAAATTGAAGAATCTTCTTGTTCTTTAATGTGTGTCCATTTGAATTCTGTATTATTTTGCGCATATGTTAGAACCGGGATAGCCCAACCGGTCATGCCAAATGATAAAATTATTAGAAGCAGTAAACCTTTTGTTTACTATGGCATGTGATTCAACCACACCAATGTTTGTGTGGTACAACCTAGAAGAAAATACGGGTAATTTTTCGTGCACATATTTTTACCCACTTTTATTGTAGTAATATAAAGGTATTCAACCTTTCCTTCGTTTGATGTCTCAACATGGTAGCCATTTTGGCGAATAGCTTTGAAACTCAACAAGTTTCTTTGAGACTTACTACAATACAATGCATTATCAATAGTTAATATCGTTCCTCTAGGTAATAATAAGGCTGCTCTTCGTGAGCCCTCAATCAACTTTGTACTACCGGATATTGTACTAACATAGGCCTTTTTCATAACCAAATAAGAGAAAAATTTCTTTTCTCTTAATATTGTGTGAGTTGTAGCACTATCCAAAAGACATAAATCTTTATTACTCATCTTGGATCCAATTGAAGACCGGAGAATTTTAATTTCTTCTTAAAAAAAAGTACATCATGTGAAATACGGAAAAACAAACATCACCAACGACAACATAAGACAACTTAAGTACTACTTAAAAATAAAAACAACTTTAGACGAGACAAAAACACTAAAAATAAAAATAACAACATAATTGCATTCCCTAGTAAAATGATCAAACTTTAGTTTTGATCTCCAGAGAAATCTTCAACTTCCAAATGAGTAAGATCATCGAGGCCTTGAAAATCATCATCATTCAAAGCAAGATTTGCCTCGGCATTGTCATCATTTTTGTTTGAAGACCCTGCCTCAAATCATTTTTAAAGGTCAAGTGAGACTCCACTGGGCATTAGCAGAAGATGCTCCAACATTATTTGCCTTTCTTTTGATGGAGTTTTAATAAAGCCTGATAAAATGCTCAGGTGCACGACATTCAATTTTCCAATGACCTTTCATGCCACAACGGTGGCAGTTACCGTTTTTTCCTCTTGAAGGATTATTTTGAGAACTCACATTGTTCTCTCGTTTGCCATGACCACCATGATGACGACTATTATATCGTCTCTTACCATTTCCATGCCCGCGTATATTAATATGGTCATGATTATTATTCTATATTTTTCAAGACTTATAACGTCTAGCTGCCATATTCGCTTCAGGAAGCGGAGCTGACCCTGTGGAACGGGCTTCATGATTTTTTAGCAAAAGGGTATTATGTTGCTCAGCCACCAGAAGGCATGAGATCAATTCAGGATACTTTTTAAAACCCCTTTCATGGTATTGTTGCTGTAATATCATATTTGAGGCATGAAAAATCGTAAGAGTCTTTTCCAACAAATCCTCATCATTCATAACTTCTCCACATAATTTCAATTGAGATTTTTTTTGAAATACAACAGAGTTATACTCACTTACGGTCTTAAAATCTTGTAACCGTAAGTGCATCCACTCATATCGAGCCCTTGGCAATACTGTAGCCTTAAGGTGATCATACCTTTCCTTCAGACCAGTCCACAAGTCAAGTGGAACTTTCACTGCCAAATATTCAACCTTCAAACCTTCATCCAAATGATGACGAAGGAAAATCATGGCCTTCGCTTTGTCCTGGCTTGATGCCTCATTACCGTGAGTAATGGTGTTACCAAGGCCTTTAGCGGCTAAGTGAATCTCAGCATCGAGAAACCATAATTGGTAATTTTTTTTAGAAATGTCAAGTGCCACAAACTCAAGCTTTGACAAATTCGACATAGTGAAAATTATCAAAGAAGATAAATAATTAGAAATCATTAGGATAATGTCACACCTCCTTTTTCCGCCCCTGTGAGGGGCGAAGGAGTTTTTCCAATTAAAGGACAATCGAAACGGGATTTGTTTATTTATTTCANAAGACAGTAAAAGAAAGAAAGGACTACATTAAACTACAACTTTAAATCTTTCTCATTTTTGCATTCATGCTTCGAGTGGCTTACAAGATGAACCAATATATCAGTTTGTGTACCTGGTATTTGGAAAGCAAGGAAAGAAGATGAAGATCAGTAGAAGCAGTAGTAGTGCAAATACACAGCAACAGTAGCAACCCAACAGCAACAAATTCGAACCAGATTCAAGGCCCAGAAAACTTTGAAGAAATCCGAACAACTAAATAGAACAAACCCAAAAGTATGTCAACCCACTAAACAGCAACAACCCACGCGTTTATTAAAACCCGAAACTAAACTCGTTTCTCACTTTGTTTTTGTTTTCTCTTTTTAAACTCTATCACACTCTATTCAGATTTTCAGAATGTATTCCTCTCTCTCTAAGTAAGTCTTTCAAGTTCAAGTCTATTCTCTCAAGTCTTAAAAGCTCTCTTTAAAATGTGTCAAATGACTCTATATATAACAAGACTCTTGTCTTGAATCCCCAACCCGAAACATTCCTCAATTGCATGCTTTTGTCCCCACTACTTAATGTTTTCCTTATTTTAAACCCTTGTCCTCATGCTTAACATAAATAATTACATTATTCCCACCCCACTACATTATGTCTTGTCCCCCATTATATTAAACAATTATATCAAACCCACCCCATTATATCTTGTCCCCCATGCTTAACATAAAGAATTACATTATTCCCCACTAATTTATATCTTGTCCCCCATTATATTAAACAATTACATCAAATGTTCAATTTCGAAAATACCCCTCCGACCTTACTGAAATTGCCAATTTACCCCTGAACGTACTGCAATTTACCAAACTACCCCATCAGCTATAACCAATTCACCTAATCAATTTCAACCAAAATACAACAAATATGACCAATTTCTAAACAATTTCAACAACAAATCTCATGAACACAGATTGAATCATACAGCTTCAAATTAATGGGAATAAGTTAACCATATTGGGAACCAATCCTGGTTAACTTAGACCAAAAATGAATGAGCAAAGAGACAACAATATCAACAACAAAATACATGATTCAAACTAAATCAACAA